TCTCTCTCTCTCTCTCTCTCCTTCGTCTTCCATGCTCCATATTGCCATATTTGTGTTGATATGCTATTTTTAAAACTCAAACTCAGAAGGTTCAGAAGCTAAATCTTTACTCCTTGATGGTGTGTCCAGGTGACGGTCATCGCGACCTTCCTGGTGTTCCTCATCCTGGGAGCCTGGGGGACGGCCCAGGTCAAGGACGGCCTTGACCTCGCTGACGTCGTGCCAAGGGACACCAACGAGTTCGAGTTCCTCCAGGCGCAGTCCAAATATTTTGGTTTTTACAGTATTAATGCTATTACTCAGGTGAGTACTTTCTGCTCTCGTGGGTTTTATTCAAATAAGATAATTTGTTTTGTGAGTCTCGTCATTTTGTGGATGGTTGGCGGGTGCTGTTTTGTGGCTAGCTCCTTCTTTCCTATCAAACATCTATCGTCGTTATCTTTCCTCCTTCTTTCCTTGTATGCTACTCTGAAGTAACACCTCTGACCTTCGGGACTTTTATGACCTATTTATGTTTCAAGTGCCGCAAAAGTCTCACTAGAACAAATCAAGCGGAAGTAGACTTTGTGCTGTTGAGGCTGGAGAGGTGAGCAGAGTAAGCCTGATTCCCCGATTGGACTTCTCTGTTGACATCCACCCCTTGGCGCTCATATGATCTTATGAAGTTGCGAGCGCCGTAAAACCTTACTAAAACAACAACAAACAAAACAAATCAAACCTGTCTGTTCGTTGTGGAATGAATTCATTATCGTTTTGATTGGCTGCAGACTTCGACTCACCAACTCCCAGCAAGCAGGTGGTAGAAGAGTCAACGTTTCTTTCCCTCTGTCTTTTTTCTGTCTGTTTGTTTCTTTACACTCACTCTTAACCAACCCCAAATGATGTATGTGTCCGCCCAGGGCAACTTTGACTTTACCATGTCTTTTTATATCTATCCGTCTGTTTCTGTATACTCACACATAATCACTTATGCGGTTGCGAGCGCCGTAAAACCTCTACTAAAACTAAACACTTAATCAACTCCAATGATGTCTATCCCCGTTCAGGGTAACTTTGACTATGACATGTCTTTGTATTTCTTTCTGTCTGTTTCTTCATTCTCACACTTAACCAACTCTAATGATGTCAGGGTTCAGGATAACTTTGACTATGCCATGTCTTTTTTTTATCTGTCTGTTTCTTCCTACTCACACTTAATCACTTATGATGTCTATCCCCGTTCTGGGTATCTTTGACTACGCCATGCCTTTTTTATCTGTCTGTCTGTTTCTTCATACTCACACTTAATCAACTCCAATAATGTCTGTGTCCGTCCAGGGTAACTTTGACTACGCCAACAACCAGCAGCTGCTGTACCAGTACCACAACGCCTTCCAGCGCATCCGCAAGATCATCCGGCGGGACGACGGCAGTCTGCCTGGCTTCTGGCTGGACATGTTCCGACAGTGGCTCGCTGGTCAGTTGCTTTTTGTTTGGGTTTTTGTTTTTTTGGGAGGGGGGTTGTTGTGGGTTTGTTTGTTGTTTAACTGTTTGTATGTGTGTGTGTGTGTGTTTGTTTGTGTGTGTGTGTGTGTGTGTGTGTGTGTGTGGGTGGGTGGGTGGATGTATGTGTGTGTGAATTTTTCTCGTTTTCATGTGTATTTTAGAAAAGAAAGACAGAGTTAGTAAGTAAGTAAGTAAGAGCGAGAGAGAGAGAAAGAGAGAGAGAGAGAGATAAAGAGAGAGAGCGTGAGAGAGGGAGGGAGAGAGAGATGAGGGGAGGGGAAGGTGTAGAGAGAGAGGGTGGAGAGGGATGTAGGAGAGAAAGAACTTATAGTGAGAGTTTCTTTGAAATTGTAGTGTTGAGAATACAAACTACAGGAGAGATGGGAAGGGATGGAAAGAGAGAGAGAGAGGGAGAGACAGAGCAAAGAGGTGAAGGAAAGAAAAACTGTGGAGTGGGAGGGGCAAAAATGATAGATGGAGAGTGATGCTTACACTTTTACTTTCTGATCTTTGATAACAAATATCAATCCCTGATGGTAGATGATGTATATATGAGTTGTGAAGCTGTAGCCTCACCTGCTATGAATACGATGTCATTATTGACGCTTTCTTCTTCATACGGTCGGTGGTTGACGGGTACTCTGGTGTGGTTTGCTTCCTCTTTCCTATAAAAAAAATCTATCGTCCTTATCTCCCCTTCTTTTTTATGTTTGTTACTCTCTTGTAACACCTCTAATCTTCTAGCGCTCATATGACCTTATGCAGTTGCAAGCGCCGTAAAACCTCTACTAAATTTTTAAAAAACCCCTCCCCATCTTCTTTTTTATGTTTGTTACTCTCTTACTATAACACCTCTAATCTTCTAGCGCTCATTTGACCTTATGGAGTTGTGAGCGCCGTGAAACGTCCACTAAAACTAAACTCTTCTTCTTTTTTTTATGTTTGTTACTCTCTTGTAACACTTCTAATCTTATGACCTTATGGAGTTGCGAGCGCCATAAAACCTCTACTAAAACTAAACTCTTCTTCTTACTGTGCAGATCTCCAGCACTCGTTTGACCGCGACTACCACAAGGGCTTGGTGTCACCCAGTGGCTGTAAGCCCAATGCCTCAGAGGAGACAATCCTGGCCTTCAAACTGCTCTCTCAGACCGGAGACATCAATAACCCGGTCAACAAGGACCAGGTGAGGAGAACCTCGGTGGTGGTGGTTGTTGTTTGTGGTGTTGGTGGTGGGGTTTTTGCTGTTGTTGGTGTTGTTGTTGTTGTTGTTGGTGATGGTAGTGGTGGTGGGAGTGGGGTTTTTGTTGTTGTTGGTGGTAGTGGTGGGGGGGGGATTGTTGTTGTTGATGTTTGTTGTTGTTGGTGGTTGTTGTTGTTGTTGGTGGTAGTGGTTTTGTTGTTGTTGTGTGTGTGTGTGTGGTAGCCTATCCGTTCTAAATGTTTGAGCGCCGAAGAGCGTGCTCTTCACCAGGGCCACCGCCTCCCTTGGGTAGCGGGTGAGGCAGTCCAACCTCCCTGAATCCTTCCCGAAGAGATGCCACCGACGGAATTGTTGTTGTTGTTGTTGTTGGTTTTGCACTTTGTTTTGTTTTTTTGACTTAACTGTGTGTCAAGTAACTCAATCTGCTGTGTCCAAAATGATCAAAGTGGGTGGTTGGTGGGTGCTCTGGAATGGTTTGCTCCTTTTTTTTCTATCTCTATAGAAAACTATCGTCCTTCTTTCTCCTCCTCCTTTTTTGTGTTTGTTACTCTCTTGTAACACCTCTTGTCTTCAACTCTTATATAACCTTATTGTGTTGCAAGTGCAGTAAAACTCTTACTAAAACTAAAAACATCTATCGTCATTATCTGATCTCTCCTCCTTCTTTTCTTTGATGTTGCAAGTGCCGTAAAACACTTACTAAAACTAAAAAATGATGTAAATCATGTCGATTGGGTTGGGGGTGAGTGTGTGTGGGAGCAGGAGGCTTAAAACATTTACAATCATCAATCATTATAATTTTTCTTTTCCCCTCCTCTCAGATGAACCGTATCCGGCTGGTGGACGACCAGGGCAACATCTACCCCCCGGCCTTCTACAACTACCTGACTGCCTGGACCACCAACGACGCCATGGCCTACTCCGCATCCATGGCCAACTTCCACCCACTGCCCAAGTACTGGCTGCACGACCCCAACGACCACAACTTTGAAAGTGAGTGCTTGGTCACTTATCATTGTCTTCTACATCGTCATCGTCATCAATTCCATCATCATTGTCATCATCGTCCTCATCTACCATCGTCATTGTCTTCATAATCAACATCATCACCACCACCACCATCATCATTACCATCATCAATACGATGATTGTCATCATCATCATCATCATCATCATCATCATCATCATCATCATCATCATCATCATCATCATCATCATCATATTCATCATCATCATATTCATCATCATCATCATCACAATCATCATCATCTTCATCATCATCAGAACCATCATTGTCATCATCACAATCATCGTCATCATTGTCACCACTCTCGTTATTGTTCCTTTCACCATCTTAATTATCATCATGAGCTTTATCATTATCATCATCATGTCTTGAAATTTCAAGTAATTATCCCTTTTCTTGTTTTGTTTTTTCTTGAAGCACAATAACTACCCCTGTGTTGACACATCTGCTATCCAATTCACAAATTATATCCGGCACCAAATCAGAACACGAGATCACCAAAAAAAAAAAAAAAAGATTTAAAAAAAAACAAAAAAACATTGAATGATCTTAATCTCTGCTGTAACTAAAGTTCAAAGATTACCCATGGGCGTATATTAACCCTGTCCGTACGCCCAGGGGTCATTTTGTACCCCCGGGTTGTATTTTTCACATTTTAGAATGCTTGTAGTACGAAGATCTCTTAGAAATTTTCAATATATCTCAAAAAATAATTTTGACTGACTGCTTTGAAAAACCTACGGATCGGATCAACGAGTAAATTTCCTCTTTGGAAAGGGGTGGCACAGAGTTCCCCACGCCGTATGGATACGATAGTAAAATACGACGTATGGATAGGATTAAGTGGTGGCACAGAGTTCCCCACATCGTATGGATACGATAGTAAAACACGACGTACGGGTAGGGTTAATTTATTATTGTCTCATTGTTTCAGTCCACAAGTCCCAGCACCTTGTCTACACACAGCTTCCGTTTTACCTCACCAACATCTCATCCACGGAGGAGGTCATCGAAGTTATCACAGTGAGTGCTCACTACTGGTCACAACTGTTCTAACAAGAGATATTTACATGTAATGGCTTCTACAGTGTGGCACTTTATTGTCGTCACCTGCTGAAGTCATGTTTTTGATTCTTTTTGAAATTGCATCTTTTTGTAGGAATTTTTAAAGAAAGATTTCTTACCATTTTGACCAATAAAATGTTAGTTAAACTGCAGAGAGAAGGAGTGGAGAGAGAATGAGAGAGAGAGAGAGAGAGAGAGAGAGAAAGAAAAAAAATGAGAGGGAGTGAGTGAAAGATCACGATTACATTGATTGCGTTGGAACTATGTTTGTTGTATCATTGTAAAACGCATTAATGCGCCATAAAAATGTAATTTGTTAAAATTATTATGATCACTATCTGTCTGTGTTTTCCCTCAGGAAATCCGGTCTATCTGCGAGCAGTTCTCGGACAAGGGCCTGCCCAACTTCCCGAGCGGCGTGCCCTTCACGTTCTACGAGCAGTACATCAACCTGCGCTTCTACCTGATGCTGTCCATCCTGTGTGTGCTGGTGGTCAGCCTAGTGGTGCTCACTGTGGTACTCATGAATCCCTGGATCGCCATCATTGTGGTCAGTACTCTGTGTGTGTGTGTGTGTGTGTGTGTGTGTGTGTGTGTGTGTGTGTGTGTGTGTGTGTGTGTGCTGGTGATCAGTCTAGTGGTGCTCACCGTGGCACTCATGAATCCCTGGTCGCCATCATAGTCTCTCTCTCACACACACACACATACGCTCACACTTAAGTACGCAGTTGTTTTTATCTCTCTAACTGAAACCATCGTACCTCTATTCCTCCCCCTTGGCACTTACATGACCAAAAGTGAGTCGATAGTGCCGTTAAACACCTACTCAATCAATCAATGAATGAATGAATCAATCAATCAATCAATCAATCAATCAATCAATCATATTCCTCCCCCAACAGGTGGTGGTGCTGAGCATGATCCTGGTGGAGCTGTTTGGCTTCATGGGCATCGTTGGGATCAAGCTGAGCGCTGTGCCGGCCGTCATCCTCATCATGACTGTGGGCATAGGCGTGGAGTTTACGCTGCACCTCTCCGTGGTACGTTCTTGTTGAGTTGATTTTGTTTGAATTTAGGTTTTTGGTTTTGTAGTAGTAGTATAGGGTTTTACGGCGCTCGCTACTGCTAAGGTCATATGAGCGCCTTTTTGGTTTTGAATATTCGTATTTTTAGTTTTGGTGATTGTTTTGGGTTTTTTGTTGTTGTTGGGTTTTTTT